ATACAGTTCTTTGTGTAAAAAGACTAAATTTTTTATTTTATTTTTTATATTGGTTTTATAATTATATAAAATAGAAATCTTATAAATGTAATCAATCTATATATATATATGTGTGTGTGTGTGTGTATGTGTGTGCGCGGGCGCGTATGCATGTATATACAATATCGTTTATATAAATCATATAACAATAAATGTCAATGTAATTTATTAAAATTTTTAATTTACATATTATTTATTAATTTCACATTCTGCAAAAAGCTTGTGACAACTTATTTTTTTATTTTTACAGTACATTTTTAAAACACATATATAATTTATTGTATATATTTTATTATCATTATTTGAATAATAAGTATACAACATTAAAAAATGTAATATAAAATTCAATAAAAATTAGTGAGAGAAACTATTGATAAAAACAAAAATGTTTGACAAAATAGGGATTGAAGTAATCTGAGCAAGTAAGAAGATTCGAAGACTAAATAAATATTATTATATTATTATTATAAATAAATATTTACACGACTGTACTTATCTATGACTAATTAACTACCAGAGTCTACTTTAAAATTAATATTCAAATTTTACGATTACTGTAAAAGTTTTTCTCTCAGATGAAATACGTAAGACATTTCATAAATGAATTAATGAAAATTAAGAATTTTTCAATAAAACATTCTAGTGAGGTTATTAATTCGCATTGTAAATTTAGGAATGTTTTGAATAAATTTTGACAATTTTTTCAAAGTTACTCAATACGAATATAATTGATATATTCAATTATGATATAGTAAATTAAATTTTGTCTTTTAAAGATATAGACATTCATAACGTTTAAATTTACCGTAAAATAAAATTTCAGTTTGTAATTTCGTTATTGACATTGTAAATGTCAAAAATATATTTGTAATACTAATTTATTATTAAATGTAAATAATTTTATACTTATTAATTATTCATATTAATAAGAATATCGCAATAATACATTAATTTTAATAACGTTATAATTTTAGGATAGTGAAAAATGAACAATTATATTTAAGAAAAGAATATTATTTATTACTGTTTAAATAATTATTTATGTTTTCTTATTTATTACATATTATAGTTATTATAATTATTATGCATATGATAACAACCATAAAATAAAAATATCAATTTACAGCAAAATGTACAATTCTTCAAAAATAGTTTACACAAATTTTTTTACTGTACAAACAACAGAGTAGGATCTTATGTGTCGTAAAATGGGCAACTAATCTCTGTTCACTTATTTATTCTCACGTATACATATACATCGTATGTATGCACACGTATTCACTTATGCATTAACCATTGTTCGCATTTTTCAGGCTCCGCAATAATAATATACAATCATTAAAGCAAGAAAACTTACATCAAATGTAAAAAATGAAAATAGTGACATTTTTACAATTATAAAATATTAAAAGAATTCTCATAAAGACAATTGGTATAGAAAATCTTAATAATTTACAGCGAGATTCATGCTGCATGTCGGATTCAGCTCAAATCAGTTATTTTGATTGGATATCTTACAATTTTATGGATTTCATGATTTTCTTGAGATCAAGTATAATAATTAGAAAATATGAAGTTTATTTTTACAATATTCAATAGAAGCCAATAAATTCTTATAAACTATTTTTTATGATATACCTACAAAACTGCAAACTACAGAATCTAATATTATTAATATTTCACTTATTTTATTCAATTTACTTCACTGTATTATAATTGCGATACTTAGTAAAGTTAAATACAGAATTTTTAACTAAAATTTCTAAGATCTATATATAAATAATATATTATCAGAAGAAGGCCAAAGAAACTTCCATGTCAAACCTACATTAAATGAAAAATGAATGAAAAGATTTGTTAGCTTATATACAAAAGTAAATTTTGAATACTTAATATTATATTAAACAGTATTTTTTAGTAAGTTTAACAGGAAGCGCATTTGTAAATACATTATATATTTATAAAACCAAAAAACCATCAAGTTTTAGACCGTTTTCTGTTACAGTTACTTATTATTTAAACTAAACTATCACATAAATTTTAGTTAAACTATATAGATAGATCATAAATATATATTTTATATACAGGACATTAACATATACCTAACAAAAGAATTTTGACATTTAATAGTTTTTAATTTTTCTTTGTAAATTATATCCACGTATGCTTTATAATTTTAATACCCCTTTATATAAAAATAATTACATTTAAATATATTCAAAAGTTAATTTTTTTTATTTTATTTTTGCATGATTTAATCGCAATTAAGATTGCAAATAATTTTACAAAAAAAATATACACATTAAAGCATAAAAATTGATTATTTTTTGCTTGTATGTTCAACTCTTTTTTGTACAAAAAATCGCAAAAGTAATTTTTCTGGAAAGATTTGTATTAAATACTAATAAGAAATAAAGTATTAATTAATATAAAATTATCTGGATTTTGCAGTAGCAGACCATGTTTAATTACAAAATAAAAAGTTAGGTTAAATTCTCGATATTATGATTTATATTCAAAGATATTAGACAGTTATATTATTTTGTTTTCAATTACTCATTGTATCTTAGTAAGGCTTTTTCGATGTCCTACATTTTTGTTTTTCTGTTATTACCAAAGTGAAAAGTATTTTGCTCACTTTTATTTAGCATATCCCTGATAGATCATCAGCCACAACGACTAGTTTCAAAAAGATTGAATAATAAATAGTATAGGTGTCTCAACATTATCTACAAAATCTTACTTAACATTACAACCAATTACTTAAAATACATATTTCAAATATTTCAAAACTTTTCGATGTTTTATCTCACTCTTGATTTATAAATTAATAGTGTTCACAGTTTATTTAACTACTATATATTATTTGATTTGTAAATATTGCAATTATTTCATCATATGGGTACATTAATACTGTCTATTAATCAATCTTTTCAAATAAAATATCTATATCTAATTAAACATAGATATTATATTTTACAATCATTTGTATAACTTCGCTATATTTTTCTAACTATATACATGAATATATGTAATAATATATAAGATGTTATAACCCATATCATAAGGAATTCTTAAAAATTTTGTAATCTTTACGATATGCATTTTAACAATCGTTATATATGGATTGATATATATGTATATGGATAATAACATGTACATGATTCATTGGAAAATTTTTTTGTCATGTTTGATGCATCAGATCATACTTTACAAATACCGTGCAATTAAGCACAGTCATAATAAGAGGTATTTTTCCAATATCGATAAGAAAGAATTAAAATTATAAGCAGATTAATTAAATGTTCATTTACTATACAATCTACTCAAATAAATACAGGACTATTACAATTTTGCGTTTGTTTACACATTCTTTCTATTTTATCAATGCTTTTCAGTCATTTTTATAATTATTATTTGATTTTAAACAAAGTAGCATTCATTAATTATAATTTGATTATTAAAAATAAAAAATTAAACTTAAACGGAAGTAGATAGAAAGTAGATTTATGTTCAATAAATAAAGCAATCGAGTTAACTATATAATAATGAAAGTTATGACGATATATACACTTATAGCACGTCATTATGAGATATATAGCACTTATACTTTAACTTTTTTTTTTAATCATATATAGTTAATAATAAATTATGTGCAATTCACATTCAAATTATTAATGATAAAAGAGAATAATTTACGATTATATTTATTTTACAGAATTTTACTTATTGCCCTTTAAAGCAAGCGAAAGACTGCCATTTTTATTTACGCTGTGTAATCATAATATAATTGAATTTTTGCTTTAGGTTTCTAAATTTAAATGCTATAATAACAATACATTAGACGAGCGATTTATGTCAAATTTTGAAAGTTTGAATGAATATTATGTCAAATACTAATATAAATTCTGTTGCATAAATATACAATTCTTAATCGTGTTTTCTAATAAGTTGTATGTATATATTTATGTATTATACCAAATTATTGAACTTGAAAAGGGCTTGAATAAATTATCTACAATTTAGTGAATATGAGTATTAATCAAGAACATTATAAAACGATTTTACAACTTAATGGTAATAAAATTATATTTCATTGATAATGTTTCGAAAAAATTTTATTTTAACGAATTTATTTTGAAATATTTATATTATTATGTATGATGAAAGATAATACATTTATTATGATTTGAAAAATTCAATAATATAATTGTAGTTAATATTCATTCATAAATTATGTTATCATTTAGAATATTTACTTTCAATTGGAGGTTGAAATTTTTTGAATAATTATAGCTCAAAAAACAATGAGATGTAACATTACATATGATTATAAAATTAATGTCCCATTGAGAATAGAAAGAAAACATTAGTTTATGTTTAAAATTGTCAAATTATAATTCACAACATCAGCAGTTATATTTACAATTATTTGCTGCTTCATAATAAATAATTTAAAAAATGAAAATAATCTAGTTCAGCAG